AACATGGCTGGCTGGGGAATTCTGGGAGTTGAAGTCCACACATCTTAAAGTTGCCAAGGTTGAGAAACACTGGTTTAAACAGAAAGCACTGCATTTGGCAGGACTTTGCAAAGCTCAGGCCTAAAACTGAAGAGGCGTTATTTTCTTCTATTCCTCTTTTCTAATAGTCTGCCAGGTTGCCTCCACAAAAGCTGGGATCGAGATATGTCATGGGTGTTTGAGGCAGAGACTTCCCTCCTGTTTGTTGTACAGAAGCTGAAGGGACTGGAAGATCTATCTCACTTCAACGTAGTTGGCTAACTTCGGGAAGTTTAAGAGAGGTTGTGTGACTGACGCAGTTCATTCTTCTGGCATTACACAGTAGCTACAGCATCCTTCTAGCAACTGCTGCCTGAGGCAGCCATGTCACTCTGCCTGATGAGAAGACTATCCAGCCGCTACACCTGAAACTCCCTTTTCTCCTGCTTCTTCTGCCTTTCGTCATCACTCAACTGCCTGGCCCCACCTTCTCGGGACCCACAACTCTGACGACAGAATCATTCCCCCTAACTTCCAGTTGCCTCTGGAGCAAGGCTGGACAATGGCTTTGTAGCAGTGTCTAACATATACTCACGAAGAGAAGCAGTGAGCTGCAGATACTATCCAGTTGGGGTTGATGAGGGAGCCTCCACAAATGTGACTGTTATCCTGTAAAATGCTGGCTTGCCAGGGCCATGACCCTTCAGCAGCTGCGTGCCCTCCAACAATCCGTGGAACGATCACAGGCTGCCCGCAGGCTGGGAGGAAAGAAGATTTACAAGAAGAAGAATGCCATGATCACCCCACAACACCTCTAATGGCAAAAATGTGACTTTTCCTTTCAGTGTTAATTTGTTTGAACATATTTCTATTAACATTCCACATTATACATGAAAATGCTGCTTGCCTGTCAGAGCTGCAAAAGTGGGACAGTGCTGCAAAGTGGCCAGAGCCACGTCAGGCATGTGGCCATGAAGAGGGTTTCTTTGTTCTTTCTTTCTTTTTTCCCCAGTTTTACCATTTCTTATCAAAACAATCTCAAACCTATTTTAGGGTATCCAGTGGTTTTGTTTTGGAAAATCATGTTGCTGATTTTCAGTATTCATGGCCAGAAAGGATTCTGAAAGCTGGAAGAATGGATTTGGGGTTGGATGTAGCCTTGGCGTCATTGGTTATGCACATATAGATTTGATAAATGTCCCCCAGTGCTACCAACTTAAGGGCTTCTTGATGTGTTTGACAGTGAGTACCATCGGTCCCAGCTGGGGGTGATGAAGTTGTAGTCCAATGCATCCAGTGGCTGCCAGATTGGAGAAAGTGGCTTCATATATGATGGTTGGGCTCTTCAATAGCCAAAGCTTAGATTTTTAAACTGAACACTTTGGAGTTCAGCTCAGCCACATGCAGAAATCTTGCTTGCTTCTGAACTCAGTTAATAATGTGTTAGTGTCAATGTAACGTGTTGGACCTGGATAAGATTTAGGTGGGGCACCACCAGGACATCCAAGGCTCTGAACTAGATTGGGAAGTTGAGAAAATGCCCTGGAAGAAGACAAAGACAAACCACTTCTATGTTGCTGTTGAGAAAACCACATCCATGTATCTGTGTAGTCATCAGCAGTCAAGCTTGACTCATGAGAGCTATATTGAGTGTCAGCACAATATATGTGAAGAATAACTAGGGTTATTAACAATGTCTGTCACTCAAGAAGAATCATCATATAGAAGAGTGGTTGGATCTTTCAGTCTGTACCATCCCTAGTATCTTATGCAATTTAATATCCATGCTCTCCTGTGCAGAAATGTTTTCCATTTAATAATATCACTTACCTGCTTCTACTCTAGCAGCACCTGAAGAAACCAAAACAAAAGAAAGTTATTTCAAGGGTGGGAAGGAAAACTAAAAAAAAGAACTATATATGTAAACTCAAAAGAAGACACTTTGGTGCAAACTCTTCTCAGCTGGTTATAAAATTAAATATGCCTGGCAATCATGCCACAAGTTTATATTTCTAGCATAAATGTCAAAGTCCATGCAATACTGAATTTCAACTTGGGTGTTTCAGAGCTTGGTCTTGAGTTACTTGATGTTAATTTCGGAACATGACAGTAGGAGAGTGTCCATCTGTAGATTGTATGGTGGTGCATCCCATGTTGGCTTCTTCTGTCCCAGGGACTATAGGATCCTATGTCTCTGGGTAAAAGCAAATGTCTTTAACTTTTGGTGTTAAACATTCTCTTCATGTGCATATAATACGTTTACAGAATGTGTGTGATCGGGCCCATTGTATTACTCAGGTTCTCTCTGAGAATGTGCTTTCCTCTTGCGTCAAAACAGCAGATATTCATGTGTGAAATCTTGTAGGAATACCCCACAGTCCCAAGAGGTGCAATCAAGCATGGGAGAAATAACTGGGGCCATTTTCATCCTCCACTCTATTTTTTGTAACTCATGGAGCCCTCTAAGACTGGGCTGCTGAGATCGGGTGTTGAGCTATATTTTCTGGGTTTTGGTCCCCCCCCCCCAAAGTAGTAAATAGATGCATTAAACCTCTAATACAGTGTTCTCCAACCTTGACAACTTTAAGGGAAATTAAAAACCATGGAAACCTCCCATGAGTTGAAGTCCGCATCTTAAAGTTGCTAAGCTGGGAAACACTGCTTTAATGGACCAAATTTATGCATTTTATTTAAACCCTTCCAAATACTCAAAAGAAGGATAAATGGACAGGGGGCCTTTCCATATACATTCTGTATACCCTTACGGCTAACTACTGGATAACACTAACATCTTTTTTCTGATGTAACCTCATGACATTGCTTTCATTTTATCTGCATAAATGAGGCAAACTTAAATCATCACTAGTTGTTCAGGTGTTAAAATGGGGTCGTGCTCTCTCTCTCCTGCCCCTGCCCCTGCCCCTGTCCCTGCTGTATTCTGGCTCTGTCCAAGGGCAACCTCAAGGCATATAAAATCTGTTGGGCTTTGTCACCCCTTATCTTAGAGGGAAATCAGGGGACTGGGAACCGGCATAGATGCAGGATATAGGAGAGATGTTAAGATTAGCAAATGTCATGTTGGGATAGTATTTTCATGACTTTAGGGTAGGTGGGGAACATTTCCTCTCAGCAGTGGAAAAAGCCCCTGAAATCCACTCCCTATCCCATAACTCATGTTCTTTCTAGCTTCAGAAGACCAAAACAAACTATTGCCCCTCAAAAATATATTTTTAAAAATCCATTTCCTGGCTGCTAAAAGATTGCTTTGTTCCCTGGTGATTACACTAGCCTGGAGGTGTTCAATATTAGGTGTGGGAATACCGTACTAGGTGGATTTCAGGCCTATAGGAGAAAGGCAAGATATGAACACAGTAAAGACAAATCTTCAAAATGTGTGTTTCTCCTACTCTCTAATCTACCAGAGATATGATTCACTCCTACTTATCATTGGAGTTGGGATTTCAATGCAAAACTTCTGCTTTTAATCTCCCGTGTCAATGAATTAAGAGGTTAAAACAGGAACTAAGCTGAATCTAGGCATACCATAGTTCATTTTTAAAAAACAATAATTTTATTAAAGATTACATTGTACAAATAAAACTAATACAAACTATATAAATAAAAAAGAAAAAGTACAAAGAAAAAATTTTTTTTAAAGAAAGAGAAAGGAAAGAAGTAGCTTCCCCCTTCATCATAGCAAGTATAAATAACTTTAACAACTTATCGCCATCTCTTAAAATACAACAATCTCTTCATCCCATATCTGACCACATTCTCTATAAACAAATCGTTAAAACTTCATCATCCATCCTAGTCAGCAAAAGTCTATTAAGGGTTACCATAAATAAGAACATATGTATTATAAACTTAATTTAATAAACCCACTTGAATTCCTTCCTTTTACTTTTATCTCATTTCCTATAATTAAACAAATCCCCCAAACCTCATCATTCACATCTAGTCAGTAAAAATCCAGTAAAAGTTACTAAAGGTAACAACATAACTGTTTTAACAATAGAAGTTACTGCATACCACAGTTCTCAGCAACTACTTCTAACTATACAAATGGGTTTTTGGTCAACGTTCTGTTTTTGAAAAACAAATGTTTCAGGTTGCCCCAAATATGCAAGAGAACTTTTCCCACCCCTCTTTAGGATAGCTTTCCCTAGCACATGGGTTTGAGGATGTGTTGGATTTTAATTCCCATATCACCCCAACCATCCTGGCCCTCCTGGCTAAGGAGTAATGGGAGTTATAAACCAATTTACCAGGATTCCAACTTGGGAAAGACTGCTGTGCACATCTCTTTTCACCTTTTGTTTCCAGGGTGTCTCTGAGATTGTAGAGTGCCTACATTCCTACTGTGGTGAAATTATATTGAATTTAAGAGATTTAGGATCAGGGAAAGGGGTTGCTACTTTTTCTTTTAGGCATTCATCCCTCCCCTCTGGCATGGGTGAAAGAGGCCTCATGGCTTACACTAACTAGCACTATAGATCTGCTTTTCTCCTTGGAATCAATGCAGAAGAACCCCTGGTTTTCCTTCCTGCATCCCATCCACTGTGACCCCATCCGTCACCTTGAAGCACCAACATCAGCAGCAGCCAAACCACCAAGGAGGGGGGAATGCTTGCCATAGTCCTTTTCCTGTCCTTGTAGTTCTCTCCTGTCCTTGTAGTTCCCTCCTGAACTGTAGTTCCCTCCTGAACTTCAGGGAACACTGCTTTATTTCAGCTTTTGTATCTGTGCCATAAAGTTAACTGCAAAGGTGAAAGGGTAGGGAATGTAGTATTTGCTTCCCCTCCTTTCTTTGTTGTTCACTCTTACATATTTTTTTAATAAACAAGAGAAGAAAAAAAGCAAGAAAAACACCCATAAAAACATAATTATCTGATGTGCTAAAAATAACTTCTCTCTCTCTCTCTCTCTCTCTCTCACACACACACACACAGAGTCATTTTATGTACTTAAATTATTCACATCTCAATTGGTTTACTTAACAATACCCAGCTCATGGGGTAGCATTTAGCTAACCTTCGTTGATCTTGAAAAAGCTAAGCCAGGTCAAACCTGGTGAGTACTTCTATGGGAGGCCACTTAGATATTTATTTATTTATATGTCACATTTATACGGCTGCCCGTCTCACACAAAGTGACTCTGGGCGGCATACAACCATTAAATAAAATAACAGGTGAATAAAAGCAGGCATTATAAAAAGAGAAAAAGTTATTGTTAAAATAAAAACATTATCACAAATTAAAAATAAAAAAGAAATCCCAGGACTATAGTCTAGGATTGAGCCATCCATCCATCCATCCATCCATCCATCCATCCATCCATCCATCCATCCATCCTGGACTATAGGATACATACATACATATATACATACATGCAACAACATTCTACAACAAGGCAGGAGCAAACCACATCTTTATGCCAAGGAAACAATATAGCTTTGTCTATGGAATTAGCAGCTCTACTCAAGGAAGGCTTTTGGTTACCTTACTTCACAATAGAACTAAAGGAAATTAAGTATCTGAATATATCAAGGCCCCATTTCTACCAGTCATGCAAATGGGGCTCCCAATGGAGAAATTATTCCTCAAATATAGAATGAGGCGTGGCGACTTCAGGCTATTGTATAATTGATGTGGAAGGTGTGTCTTGTCAGCCTTGCACTATAGTTTTTTTTTCTGCAACCATAAATGGACACAATACCCATTTGCATTACTTCTCTTTTAATTTTCAGACCAATGGTTTATAAAAACATCTTCAGAACTGATGAATCCATCAAAATAACATTTATATATGAAATAAAAAGGAGCCACTACAGCACAGGGCCCCATCTTATGAACCAATGTTACATTTTGAGCACCACAGTTCTGACAATGAGCTGAACGCACCCATTTCTTTCTAAAAAGATGCATAGCTATCTAATAGATGTGAAATAATACTTTCCATTGACTTAGTCATAATTTTAAAAGGATAGAAATGTGACATTCAGATGCCCAAATAGTGTTCCACTGATATCCATATATAAAACATCCATAAATAATTCCTTATCTCTTGCCTCCCATAACTCTTGAATATTTAATTATTCTAATTAATGTGTATAGATCAATATTGGAATTACAAAACATTGTATGTGGAAGTACAAAACATGCCAAACTTTATAGTATTTCCCCGCTCTTGAGTTAAAGATAAAACCGAGAAGTTCTAGTTCTTTGAATTCTTGAGATCTCATGCTCCCATTGGAAATCTTCCCTTCCTCCCTGATTCACTCCTAATTTCATTCCTAGTTTGCTAAAGCAGCTATACAAATGACAAAATTTCAAACCATTTAGCCTTTTTACATCCCAGCAATGAAAAGCATAGAAACCAGAGCTGTCCATCAAATAGTTTTAGTTGAGTATGCATTTGATTGCCTGTGAAATTGAAATGTCAGATTTAAACAGCAATAAAATTTAGGCAAGTCTGCTTAAAGGATGCCCTGGATTTTTGCCCAGAGAACTTAGTATCAGGAGAAAGGCTTGGAAGCTTTATAAATGTCCACCAGTCTTGCATTTTCCCAGGGAGGCTTAGCAATAACTATGGGTAACATTACTTACCTTTATGAAAGGTAATAAAAAAACCACAACCAGTTGTAAATCAGTAATTTCCTTATTTGCTCAGAAGGGCTTATGACAGTTTAGAACAGCAGACAGCAGTTTTGAAACGGAGTAAACACAGACCGGGCGTGTATGTGTGAATGGTAGGGAATGGATGGAGGATGACGCCACCATTCCTACACTCAAGTAGTGGGACGGAGGGTATAGCCACTTCTGTTGATAGGGCAAGCAGAAAATGTGGATCTGTCCCATGTCTATTATTCCTAGCAAGGGCCATGCAAATGCAAAATTTCCATCTCCTCCTTCTCTTGCTGAAAAATCAAAGTGACAACTCTTAAAAAACTAGGGAAATGTAGGATATAACACCATCCTGGGGTAGAAATTTGGTCAAGTCATAACTAGTTTCCCTCAGAGTTGGTCTGCCCATCTCTCAGAATTCTGGTTTCCCTTTGAAATGCTGAGTGTCATGTCAAGAAACTGCCTGTGGTTAAAGCAAGCAATCTCTGGCTTAGGTTGATGATAAATAATTACAGGAACAGATCAGGGTTGAAGTTCTGTTTCATGTCCCATCATCATGAGAGAAGAATTTAAGCTTGATGAGAAACCTAGAGAACCATTGACTGATCAGTGGGCCCAGCCAGGATTATCTGGGGAAGGTGGGGGGTCAAAAAGGTCAAGAGGGCAGCTGCAAGTGTGTAATCAAAGCCCATCCCCTATTTTAGAAGTGTCATGCTGCAGTGGACATATGAAAAAGGCAGAGCTTCAGACACATGGTCATGGCTGAAGCTGACTTCTAGCAGTACTATGGGGTGATGACAGGAGGATATACAAAGATTGGATAATGGTTCAGCAAGATATTTGAAAATACTGGTCTACCCTTTATTCTCTTGTTCTGTCAAACAAAATGTTTTGGACAAGTCATACATATTATAGACCAGGCATGATCCCCAACTTTTATAAGCAATTCTGGAATTTCGAGAATAGGTTATGGGCAACTCACAAAATGGTTGTCATCCAGAATATTTACCTGAACGTCTTATTAAAACCCATTTACTGGAAGGCAAAAAAGCCCTGGGCTGCAGCTGTCCACCATATTTCCTAAGACTATTTCTGGGGTCTGTGTGAGGTTCAGAGCTCTGAAGTATGCCAGGATGCCATGCTTCTTTTAATTAGAAAAATTTTAAGAAAGGTATTATGGCAAAGGGCAGGGAGCTTGTCAGACACATGTCTTTCTGAGAATTGCACAGATTAGAGCAATGTTTCTCAACCTTGGCAACTTTAAAATGTGTGGACTTCAGCTCCCAGAGTTCCCTAGCCAGCCTTGCTGGCTC